TGGCGTTCGTCGCCTGCGAATAGCCGAGCGCCACGTTGGCGTCGCTGACGGCGTAATCGGCGTTGGCGACAACCGCCCGCGCACTCTCGCGACTGGTTCCGAGACACATCTTCGACAGCCCCGCTTGATACCTCTGCGGTAGGGAGGAAGACGACGAGAGCGAAGGGCGAAGTTAGTGAAATGCGAAGGCCAGAGAAGGCCAAATTTGTGATAGGACACTAGGACGCATTGAAAGATACGAGGTTGCCTTGTGCGGGGCCTCGAGCTTACCGCAATCATAACACTGTCCTGCGCGCGCGTTCTTTCTGTCAAGAACTGGGCCCGTACGGTGAGACTGAGGGAATGTACGAGAAGTGCAGCCACAAGCACGTGTAGCACTTGGAGATGGATCTGATCGAAAAATCTTCTCCGCAGGGCAGAGGTGAACGATCGTCTGCGGCCGGTGGCTGAGAAAGAGCCTCGTCGATTCAACTGTTCCTGCTGCATTGCAGCCATTTCGACAGAGTTGCGAGGTAAGCGAGATGGCGAGCTTTGTCGAGTCGACGGAATCGCTGAGTGGAACGACTGCCGGAAATGCGACTGAAAAGGTTGTTGTTCAAGTGTTACAGGGAGAGCACATAAGATGACAATGGCTTCGAATGGCGGATAACCTGGATGGAATGTGTCCTGCGTAGACTGAGATGGCTAGTAATCTACTTCAAGGTAGTGTGCTGGCAGCTCTGGCAATGCTGCTGAAGCTGTCGATCGGTCGGAAAGTGACGAGGCGATAAGTTGTTGGCTGCTTGGGGTTGGCCTCCGCCACTCCAGCCAATCAGTGTGACATGCGCACCACACATTGCGCCCCTGCAACCCCCCACATCTCCCCTTCTTGCCCCCTGCAATTTCTTCTCCCGACCAGACTGTGTCACCCAGAAATGACTTCGCATCTTTCGTCGTCAATCATGCTGTTTGTTGGTTCGTCAATGTCGTGTCGAACCGTCCCCCAGCCAGCCATGCCGCCCCTGATTGCATGGCCGAGATGCAGCCAGACGAATCTAGCCTGTGGCGAAATGCCGAGGGACATCGCATCGCGCGACTTCCGATTGGTTGGAGGCTAGAGTGGTTTGGGCTGGTTTGGGGGAGTGAATAGATTTGGCAATTTCTGCCAAGGGCAGGGCCAGGTTGTGAATGTGGGTCACTGTACAGGTGTGGTTGTTGAAAGCAGGTCGAAACGACAAATCGAGATGAAGCAAACAACCTGCAGGTTTTCTTGCGATAAATACGATTGGTTGCGACAAATGCGCTTGCCCAAAATAACTGCATCCTCTTTGTGCGCCACCACAACGCTGGATTTTGCCCTAGCATCGGTTGGGAGGGCTGTAACGGGACGAATAGGAAGTTCGACCATAGTGTCTTTCACTCGGGATATTGTAATAAAGCTCCTACTCTAGCAGTGAGCAAGTGATGTCAAGTTTCCTTTATGGAGCAAGTGATCAACATTTACAATTCTCCTACTACCGTACAACAGTCCACTCTGCAATAGTCCTCGTACGCAGGTCCTACTACTTACGCAGGGGTCTTGCGTTTAGGCCAGACGCCTTGTCCAAGGAGCACGTATTTGTACATAGCAAGTCATGCCTTTTTTTGGCACCTTGTAACTCTAACAGGGCTGGGTCCTGTAACACTTGCACGAAGGGACATACACGTATCGCACACACGTTCCCATCGATGATATTGTATCCGCTCGCGAACTGCTTGCGAGCAGCCTTCGTCGACGCCTCGCAGATACATCCTGAGGAGCTGCATACCTCCCAACCATTTCGTATGCAAAGTAGCACGGAGCGTTCGAGTTGCAGTACTGCTGTACCACCGCTGCAGGACTGTAGACGGGTCGGTAAATCATGTACACCGTAACGTGCGCCTCGATATACGGGTCATAAGTAACGAGAATTGCCCCCGAGAGGTCGTTAGGGTCAGCTTTGGCGCCGTATTGCTCAAGGTAGGAAGAAACCATTCCATATGGGTCGGCCGGAGCGGAGAGATCTGCACCTGAGACCTGAAAGTGTAAAAAGGAATGTGGTGATTTTGGAACGAGGAGGGGAAATATGAACAAGTGCATAGCTACTAAACGCAGGGAAACCAGACTGAAAGACGAAATATGTAGACATGGAAGCTTATATGCAGGGGCATGAGTACCGGATAAGGTGGAGGTTACAGAACAAGGACTTTCAAGGCAGGCAAAAACTCGCTTACCGTGAAATTGGTCTGCGTCATGGGAGGGGCTGATACTGTTCCTGCAGCGTCAACCTCGAGAGCCGTAGGATACATGTTCGACACGTCCAAAGTCACTTGCGGGGCGACTTGTAACGCGGATGGCACTGTCAGGGAGACCACATACGACGAGTCCACTACACGCTCGGGTAGGCTGCGCAGATCGCCCTTCACGAATTTGTTTGTAGAGGGGTAGTAGGTGTATACACCCAATAGACCCGGTGGGACGCAGCGGCGAGGTCCTGAGGAAGGAGGGGATAGAAGATGGAAGATACAGGGGATGTGAAAACGAAGGTTCTGTTGTAAGGGGAATGGTATACTCTTGAGAGGAATAAAGGAGAGAGAAGGGGGGAGAAAGGGAGGCCTGAGGGGATGGTATGCAATTGAGTAATGGGGGCAAGTCCGAGTGGGGGGCAGGGGTGAGGCGTGGGGGACGGGACAAGTGGATTAGATGGAGCGACGGGTTGCAGAGAGGGGAGGAGAGAAATAACGGAGGTTGGTACAAACAAAAAAAAGGGAAGTTTACCTTTAATTCTCGCGCCGCCGATGTACATGAAGGTGGCGTTCGTGGGCTGCGAATAGGCGAGCGCCACGTTGGCGTCGCTGCCGGCATAATCGGCGTTTGAAATAACCGCCCGCGCCCTGTCGCGACTGGCTCCGAGACACAGCTTCGACAGCCCCGCTTGATACCTCTGGGGAGAACAGCGCCAAGGAAAGAAAAGAGCGACAGAGAAAAAACTTAAGAGGTTGAAAAAAAAAAAAATCTTATGGGATGCTTGATTTAATTAAACGGCGTGAGTTTGTTTCTGGAAAGTGTGTCCAACAAGACCACGCACAAATTGCTCTCTTCACGACCTTGAACGAAGCGTCGGAGACTTGGAGCTTACCGCAATGACGACGCTGTCCTTCGAGTCGCGCGTTCCTTCTGTCGGAAACTGGGGGCGAGCCGCGAGCGCCAAGGCGGGTAAGAAAAGGGTAGCGAGGAGCAGGTGTACTTGGAGTCGACTGGTAGCGCTCCGTGGAGCTGATCGCGTACACGAGCGTCGGCGACTCGTCGATGAGAATCTATCTCGTTGATTTGGCGGTGTCTGGTGAATCGCAGCCATTTCAACGGCGACGCGTGGAAATGTGGGAGAAAGGGTGAACTGGGTCTTGACTGAAAGAAATGGTCCAAGGAGGGAAAGAAAATACTGACTGAGGCTTCAAAGAGCTAAAAATCCGTTGTCGAGAAGAAATATGGGAACGGATAACTATTGCGTAGCGAATAGAGTGCGAAACAGAGATTCACAAGCTTTAGTGCGTTTCGATGCTCAAACAAAGCCTGGCCTGTTGAAAGTGATAATCCTTCCAGCTGGTGCGTGGGTACGTAGGGCTGGTGATTGACTTGAGTCCAAGGTTATGTACATGCTGTTGTGGCAGTACAGGGAGGAGTATGTGGAAGAGACGCAAATGTTGTTGGCTGCTTGTGATTTCTGCTTCACCTGCAGAAGTCGTCAAAGGGCAGTGCCACGGCCGCACCTCACATACCGCCTCTGCTTGGTGATTTGTGAGTTGAACGTACGGAACTGACAGAGCTTTTGGCAGTGATTGCGTTGCCTTGCGTAACCCAACATCGAGGCAGGGGAGAATTGTGGAGGGCAGGGTGGGTTGGAGGTGGTAAATTTCTGTACACTGGTGCGGTGAGCGGGAGTGTAAAAAGGTTGGCGGGGAGCTAATTACCCCAGGAGAATGGGCATGTTTTGAATGTGGGTCTCTGTTGGCGTGCGGGCAACCTGGAGGTTTCTTTACAAAAGCAGCTGATTGGTTGCGACGAGTAGCTTGCCGGAAATAGCCGCAGTTTACGGCACTGTACATCCTCCATGGTGTTTCGTGTGTTGGGTGGAGGTTGTTGGTCGTTACACGAGCGTTATGAGCAGCATCGGGAATGTTTATTACCATTCGTGATTCCTTAATGAGTTTATAAAACTATGGTTTAGACAGCTTCCAAGTGTTCATACGTTTCGAAAGCGTTGCTGAAACGTGACTGGTATTATTAGCTCATTGTTACGGGTGCAATGAATCGAGGTAGCGAGGAGTGCACTAAGGTGTCAAACGGGTACAAAATGTGAGCGAATGCATGAGCGAACATTTATACGCGAAACATGCAAACGATAACGCGGTGCATGCGAGCTAGCTAGTGCTATGCTGACTGCGAGGCTCGGGCTAGTCCCGAAGCGTAGGCCGACACGGCCGGGCCAGCAGTGCGAGGTTTGGTGAAACAGTGCGCGCGAAGTCGGCGAAGCCCCGTTAGCAGTAACGGGCGAACAACGGCTGCTGCTGTACGCGATGTTGTAGTGCGCGCTAAGGAATGTCGAGAAAATTCCTTACACTCATCCGATTCAGGAACGTTTCTGATAGATAATCAGGCGGGAACGCACACTCAGCTTGATTTCAACCCAAACGCAGACTTCTGAATTGCCAACATAACCAGGTTGCAGATGGTGCAAATGCTGTGAGAGTGGTAGGATACGGTACCTCGTGGTTTTGCACGCTCAATGTCCACAACGTATGTCAATCGACCAAAACCAGACCAACATCTTTCCTTCATTGCTACCAGCCTTGCAAACCAATTTACGGTAGCCTAGAGACTATCATTTTTCTGGATCTAGTTTCCTGGTCATAGTATCTGGTCCAATCACTGCTAGTTTATTTGCGGATTTGTTTAGGAATTGACCCATTTCTCTCGTCTTCCCGCTTTGTACGGATCCGTCATGGCTCGTCGATTTATATGGCGGCTCTCTTTTGTTCTATTTGCGATCTTCTTGATTCTCTCGCCAGCAGGTATTTCGCTCCTTTCTTCCTTAGCAAGACTCGTCAATGACGTTGCTTTCTTTCCTATGTTCCTCCCGCTGTGATGAAGAGATGGCATGGACATTGGATCTGATCTTTCGCAAATATCGAATCATGGGTTAATGCCATTGTCATTACGCCCGTCCTGCTTGCTCGTTTTCTTCCCGATTCGTTTCCCGACCGTTTAAATCTCTGTCGTCAGTCACCATCCGTGCTTGCTCGCTTTATTCCCGACTCATTTCCTGACCGTTCAAACTCCCAACCTAATTAAATCTCTGTCGCCAGTCACCGTCCGTGCTTGCGCGCTTTCTTCCTGACTTAATTCCTGACTGTCTGAATCTCTTACCTTTTCAAAATTCTCTGTCGCCAGTCACCGTTCGTGCTGAGGAGGATGACGAAGATGCGAACGCCGCTGCCGACGCCGTAGCGGCTGACGCCGCTGCATCGGAGATCGTGGCGACGGAGGAAGAGGAGGTGGAGGAGGAGTTGCCGCGTCTTGTCCCGGCCGATGGAGTCGAAGTCAAATCTATTCTTCCAAAATTCTTCAACAAGGGTACGCGTCACGTTTGACAATTTTTTAGGCGCCTCATAAATAGACTCTCGGATTTGATCTCGATCGCGTCGCATGATCTGTCACGTCCTTGCTCGCCGAACGTCCATGGTTTTTTTTTTTTTTTGTGTTTTTTTTTTTTTGTGTTTTTTTTTTTTCTGCAGAGCCGGTTATCCACGCTGGTCAGGAAGCCGAGCTGCTCTTTTCAATCAGCAACAACGGTACGCCGCCTGCCTTGTGGCATTTGGACGACTGTTTTGACGACTGTTTTAGTCGCAACTTTTCGCCCGCCTTGTTCCCACTGATTTGTCCCTCGTTCGATCCCCGTTGACCCCACGTGATCATGTCAAAGCTTCCGAGTATGTTTCAGTGGAAAATCTGTGAGAGGCATAAGGACGAATTGGTATTTTGTGTGTGTTTTGTGTGTGTGTGTGTGTGTGTGTGTGTGTGTGTGTGTGTGTGTGTGTGTGTGTGTGTGTGTGTGCGTGCGTGCGTGCGTGCGTGCGTGCGTGTGTGTGTTTGTTTTCTTGTTTTGCTTTAGTGGTTTTGGCTCATGTGTGCGGACCTTTCCTGCCACGCGGATCTTGATGGTGTGTTCATTCTTTCAGGTCCGATCCCAGTGTTCATGGGTAACGTCACTGGTAACATCTACGTGCCGTTCGACTTCCGATACGTGGTGCAAAACTTCTCTTCCGACGTGAGTTGGGGAAGAGGGGGGGGAAGGGGGGAAAGAGGGGGAAGAGGTGGGGGGGAGGGGGGAGAGGGGGGGGGGGGGGTGAGGGGGGGATTGAGGGGGGGGGTGGGGGGGGGAAGAAGGGGGGGGTGAGGGGTGTTGGTTGTTGTGTGTTTCCCCTCCCTGTATCCCTGTTTTGAGACGTTTCAAATCAAAGTATCACGTGACTGCAGAGGTGGTTGAAAACGTATTGACAAGGCAATGGACTGGTTGTTGGCTTTTGACGCGCCTCAATAGGTGCCTTTTAGAGGGTGAAAACGTAATGACAAGGCAATGGACTGGCTGTTGTTGTGTGCTTCGCCTCCCTGTGTGCCTGTGTGCGCGTACAGTAGTACAACGTCACCATCCCTCCAGGCGTGCAGGTCTCCTTCTGAGTCCACTCAAAAGGTCGCTCCTGCCGTGTTTTCTCCTCCCGTGTGCCTGTATGCCCCTGCTGTGTTTTCTCCTCCCGTGTGCCTGTATGCTCCTGCTGTGTTTTCTCCTCCCGTGTGCCTGTATGCTCCTGCTGTGTTTTCTCCTCCCGTGTGCCTGTATGCTCCTGCTGTGTTTTCTCCTCCCGTGTGCCTGTATGCTCCTGCTGTGTTTTCTCCTCCCGTGTGCCTGTATGCTCCTGCTGTGTTTTCTCCTCCCGTGTGCCTGTATGCTCCTGCTGTGTTTTCTCCTCCCGTGTGCCTGTGTGTGCTTGCTTTGTTTTCGTCTCCCTATGTCCCCCTGCGGTCGCTACAGTCGTACAACGTCACCATCCCTCCGGGTGTGCAGACCTCCTTCTCCTTCCACTTCACGCCAGAGAGGTACCTTCAGGTGGGTTCTCTTTACATTCTTCGATTGTTCTTTTCACCACTTAAATCACCCTCTGCCCACCTCGTACCTCGGAAACCACATATTTGTGCCTCTCCCTCCCATCTCCTCCTTTTTCCTCCTCCCATCAACCACCTTTCTCCACCCGCCAACCCGAATCCACTATTTCGTTTTCCCCTGCTCCTCCTCCCCCCTCCCACCCCTCTCCGCCTGCCAAACTCTTTTCTCTATCCCCATTTTGCCGCGCGGTCGCATTTTACATTGTTGCTGACTCCCTTCCACGCCTCTCTCCCCATCAACCGCACTGTCGAGGTGCTGGAGCTGGTGGGGTTCGCCAGCCCCCTCTCGCCCCACCAACCCTCACCACCACTTCTCCCTCTTTACCCCCCCTCCGCCACCCTCCTCCGCCACCCTCCTCCCTCCCCCTCCTCCCGGCCCCCACCTTCCCCCCTTTTCTCCCCTCCCTCCCCTCTCCCCTTCCCCCACTTCTCCCCGGCGACTTTGGTCTCGCCCTTGCCGCGTTTTACATAGTGGGCGACTCCCTGCACGCGTCGCTGCTCGTCAACCGCACGGTCGAGGTGCTGGAGCCGGTGGGGTACGTGAGCGGCGAGTCCTTGTTCCTCCAACGCTCACCACTTCTCCTCTCCCTCCCCTCCTTGCCCCACTCTTCCCCGCCCCCTCCCCTCTCTCCCCCCATTCCCCCCCGCCCCCCTCCCTCTCCCTCCCCCTTCCCCGGCCCCTTCCCCTCCACCACGACGTGTCTTCCCCCAGCCGCGCGACTTCGGGCTGGCCCTCGCTGCATTTTACATCGTGGGCGACTCTCTCCACGCGTCTCTCCTCATCAACCGCACAGTGGAGGTGCTGGAGCCGGTGGGGTACGTGAGCGGCGAGTCGGTGTTCCTCGTGCTGCTCGCCGCAGGGTTGCTCGCGCTGCTGGGCGTGTGGGCGTACGGGCAGGTCACCAAGATGAAACAGGTGCGGTTGGAAGGGGGAGGGGAGAGAGAGAGGGGAGGGGCGGCTGTGGTGCTGAGATGTATGTGGTGGCATACAGTTTTCGCATGGCTGGGCGTGTGGGCGTATGGGCAGGCTGTCGAGATGAACCACGTTCGGTTGGAAGGGGTGATGTGTGGGATGTTAGGATAGGTGAAGCTGGCATGGGGGGATTGGGGAGTGGGTGGGTGGAAGAGCCGGAGTGATGGATGGGTACGTGGTCAGTGTGTGGTCGTACGGGCATGTCGCCACGACGAACCAGCGCCGATGTAAAGCTCTCCTGCAATGTGTCACTAATTGTGTTGGCATGGCCTGTTTTCCCAATGAAATGCCGCTCCTGTCTCGCAGAAATCCCGCCGCACTAAGAAGGTTGAGACGGGCACAGCGGGCGACACTGGTGCCGAGACCAACGAGTGGCTCCAGGTCAGTTGGAAATGAGACCCTGCAGTGTACCTCAACACCAGCAAGGGACTTACTTTAAAGCCGTTGCAAAAGGTGGGCACAGCTGGAGACTCTGGCTCCAGGTCTGTGGGGAGATAGTATTCATGCAAGTTTGAAATTGGGGTTTAGGGGGATTGCAACTTGCAACTTTCAGGTTGAAATTGGGCTTACATGCTGTTGTCGGTGGTTTGTGAAGTGCTGCCATTTTGTCTCTTGGGATGACCAAGAATGTCTTCTTTGGGATGGGTTTTGCAACCCTTGTTTTGCTTGCAGGGTACTTTCTTCGAGCAGCACAACAAGCAGCAAGTCAAGTCTCGAAAGAAGCAGAAGTAGCTGCTATTCCTGCAAAATTGCAGGCTATTGGGTGACCCTTTCTGTTGAATAGTGCAGGCCATTGGGCGACCCTTCGAGACTGAGCAGTTCAGGAAATTAATTTGTGGAAATCAAGCTTTGGATTGATTTGATTTTGAGAGTTATCTTACAGTAGATCGCCCAATGTTGGCAAAGTCACTGCTAGAGGAAAAAAACATAAATGCCAGCTTTATGATAAGGGGTTCTAGCTTCAGAGGGGGGCCCCAAAACTCAATATCATCAATCAGTCTACGAAAATTTCTCAGAACCAGTAGTATACTAACTGGTCCTTTCGAGTTAACCAGGAAATCCAGAAGTCTGGTGTTATGAGTTTGTCACAGAGAGTGCTCAGGTAAACGAATAACGAGACTGTGATTGAATGATCTGAGAATACAATGAAGGCACAGACTAATGTAGGGACTAGCCTAGCTAGGAGGGAACCTCGGACGAGCGAGGTTGGGTGCAGGTTTGTTAATGGGAAAATGCCGAAGGCGACGCGAGGAGCCTCGGCAGCGTTGAAATCGGCCGAACGTGCAAAGTCCGAAAATCGGGCTGTACGCGAAGCAGTCAACCCCGATCAGGCCCCCAGAAGTCAGAGAAATTTGTCTGATTTGCATGTAAAACTCTGAGAATTCAGATTTTTTTTTTCAAGTGAGCTCTGTTAAAATCAGAGATTTTAGGGCCCCAACTCTGTAATTTTCAGAGAAATTCTAAAGCTAACTCTGACGTTTCAGAGTTTTCCGTGAGTGTACTCTGATCACCCAGAGTACAAATGCGTACCGATTCCGTTTTCTGCTTGCGTTCTTGACTGGTGATTCGGTTTGGACTTCACGGGTCACAGCAGATTCGCTAAGTCAATGCAAAATCGGCTTGAAACAGCAAATCTGCGCCTTACAGCACAGAATTTTCGCCCAATCACAGCAAAATCGCCTTGACACAACAGATTCGCGCCGTCAGAGCACAAAAATTTCGACCAATCACCTTGAAATTTCACCTGACATTCCAGATTCGCCCTTTCACACCACAAAATTCGCCCTGACACAGAAATTCGCCCTGTCAGAGCATGTTCTCCCTAAAACCCCCCTAGTCTAGCATGTTTCGATATCAGATGAAACATTGATTACATTTTTGATGAAACATTAGATACATTGATGTTTCAGACTTTTTTTCTAAGGCACTCTGAAATTTCAGCTTTTTTTTATAACCGACTCTGAGGGTTTCAGACTAAAATTTTGTACTAGTCTGATGAATCAGACAGGCAAAAAACGAATCTGAGGGCCTGACCCCGATAAGGAATTTGGGAAAATTCCCCCCCCCTCCCCCCCCCCCCCCCCCCTTAAAGCCCGAGTACAGCATGGTTATTTTCAAGTTCAAGATTCTTGAACTTGAAATCGTCAAAAACAGGGTTACCCTAATTTTTTTTGGCGGAACTCTCGCGACTCTGGGACAACGCCTAGCGACACTCTCTCCTCATTGGCTGATGTGCACAATCGCAAAACAGAACCGAGCGTCGCTCAGGTTCGCCCACTATTTGCATCACACATATCTTGATCGCCTAGTAGTACTCATGACCGGCCTAGGCTCTCACGTAGGAAGAAAGCCAGTGCTTCATCAGCTAGTACCACGTGACCACGATTTTTACAGCAACTCACGTCACTCATGCTGTCTCGTCAATAGCAGTGGCGGAACAAGCCTAGTGTCGCTGTAGATATTTACAGGCGTTGTCGCCACACTCACCCGGAACGTCTGAGCCAAACGAGTGCGACACCATTCTACCGCACGTGCAGCGTGAGTCGTCACCCGCGCTCCCCCTCGCCACCCGCGCTCCCCCTCGTCACTCGCGCCCGCCCTCGTCACTCGCGCCTGCCCGGAATAGAATGCCGGCCCTCGTCATGCGTTTCCATTCGTCACGCGCGTTTCCCTAGGTCACGGGCGTTTCCCTTCGTGGCGCGCGTTTCCCTTCGTCACGCGCGTTTCCCTTCTTCACGCGCGTTGCCCCTCGTCACGCGCGTTTCCCCTCGTCTCGCGCGTATCGCTTCGTGGCGCACATTTCCGAATCTCGCGCACGCGCCTTCTCGTCACGCGCGCTTCCCCGCGTTGCGCGCTCTCCTCCCCTCGTCACGCGCGTTTCCCCTCCGCCCTGCTTCCCCCCTCCCTATGCCCTGCTTCCCCCTCCCTATTCCCTGTTTCCCCCCTCCCTCCTCCCTGCTTCCCCCCTCCCTCCTACCTGCTTCCCCCCTCCCTCCGCCCTGCTTCCCCCCTCCCTCCTCCTTGCTTCTCCCCTCCCTCCTCCCTGCTTCCCCCCTCCTTCCTCCCTGCTTCCCCCATCCCTCCTCCCTGCCTCCTCCCTCCCACCACCCTGCTTCCCCCCTCCCTATGCCCTGCTTTCCCCTCCCTATTCCCTGTTTCCCCCCTCCCTCCTCCCTGCTTCCCCCCTCCTTCCTCCCTGCTTCCCCCCTCCCTCCGCCCTGCTTCTCCCCTCCCTCCGCCCTGCTTCCCCCCTCCCTCCTCCTTGCTTCTCCCCTCCCTCCTCCTGCTTCCCCCCTCCTTCCTCCCTGCTTCCCCCATCCCTCCTCCCTGCCTCCTCCCTCCCACCGCCCTGCTTCCCCCCTCCCTATGCCCTGCTTCCCCCTCCCTATTCCCTGTTTCCCCCCTCCCTCCTCCCTGTTTCCCCCCTCCCTTCTCCCTGCTTCCCCCCTCCCTCCTCCCTGCTTCCCCCCTCCCTCCTCCCTGCTTCCCCCCTCCCTCCGCCCTGCTTCCCCCCTCCCTCCTCTTTGCTTCTCCCCTCCCTCCTCACTGCTTCCCCCATCCCTCCTCCCTGCCTCCTCCCTCCCACCGCCCTGCTTCCCCCCTCCCTATGCCCTGCTTCCCCCTCCCTATTCCCTGTTTCCCCCCTACCTCCTCCCTGATTCCCCCCTCCCTCCTCCCTGCTTCCCCCCTCCCTCCTCCTTGCTTCCCCCCTCCCTCCGCCCTGCTTCTCCCCTCCCTCCGCCTTGCTTCCCCCCTCCCTCCTCCTTGCTTCTCCCCTCCTTCCTCCTTGCTTCTCCCCTCCCTCCTCCCTGCTTCCCCCATCCCTCCTCCCTGCCTCCTCCCTCCCACCGCCCTGCTTTCCCCCTCCCTATGCCTTGCTTCCCCCTCCCTATTCCCTGTTTCCCCCCTCCCTCCTCCCTGTTTCCCCCCTCCCTCCTCCCTGCTTCCCCCCTCCCTCCTCCCTGCTTCCCCCCTCCCTCCACGCGCGCAATATCTGAAACACGCCTGCGCGCCAAATAATCACGAAGAAGTGACGAGGTGTCCAGCGAGTCAGAATGCACCCACGTGTCGTCTTCATTGGTGCGATCAGTCCAACGTATGAGGAAATCCACGTGGCGACCAGCTGCGTCGAGTCGAACCCGATGTGCCAGAATCTTCGAAGGGTCGAGGGTCGGCTCCGGTACAGGACGTGCAGTTGGGGCAGCTTGTTGCTTTGCGATGTCGATCATAGCTGGCACGAACTTTCGCAGCAGGCTGACGTGGAAGGCGTCATGAATGCGCCAGTCGTCGGGTAGCAACAGCTTCGCGGTGACAGGTGTCACCATCTTGATGATCTTAAATGGCCCACAAAATCGTGGCCGTAGTTTCGACGGGCCGGGCAGGTGCAGGTTCTTCGTGTCAAGTAGCACTAGTTGCCCAGCGGCCAAGACGAGTTCCCGTCGGAGAAGGTCAGTGTATTTGCGGGAAGTGATATTCGCTTTGCGAATTGCGTCTGCGGCTTTTTCTCGGACTTCTTGAAGCTCCGTCTCTAAGGTTTGTGACCTCGGGACCGGGTTGTCGAGAGTAGTCGCTGTAGGAACCGTCGGATCCATCCCGTCATTCAGGAAAAACGGGGAGTGATTAGTCGTGCTGGACAGGGCGTTGTTGAAGGCGAACTCCAACATGGCGAGCGATTCTTCCCAGCGGGCAGGGTCGGGGCAGCTTGTCCGTATTAGCTGCTCCATGGTCTGGTTGGTCGCTCGGTCTGGCCGTCCGTCTGTGGATGGTATGCCGATGAGAACTGTAGCTTCGTGCCGTACTGCGCCCATGTCTCTTTCCAAAATTTCGATGTGAACTTCGGGTCGCGGTCGCTGATGATCGCCGAAGGGATTCCGTGCATTCGTACAACTGTTGAGATGAAGAGGCGCGCAGTTTCCTTGGCTGTGATTGTTGTTTGACATGGGGCAAAATGCACCATTTTCGTGAAGCGATCGACGACAACGAGCACAGCGTCGTTGCCGGACGGCCCAGCTGGCATCCCCGTGACAAAATCCATTGTCACTTGCTGCCACGGTCGTTCGGGTGGCTCGAGGGGTTGCAGCAGCCCAGCTGGTCGTTGACGTGTCGATTTCATGGCTTGGCACACCCTGCATGAGGACACATATCGCTGCACGTGGTTAGAAGAGTCAGGCCAGTAATATTGACGGTGAAGTAATTTCTGGGTTTTATGAACCCCGAAGTGTCAGGAGAAATTCAAATCGTGGACCTCCTGGACAAGGAGTTCACGCAGCAGCCTATAAGCGGGAACCCAAATCCGGTCGGTTCCGGCTTTTAGGTAATAATCCCCTTTCTGCGTCGTGGCCTGCTGATGATTTCCAGTCGTGAAGAACGAGTCCATAATGTAGCCGTGGGTGAATAGTCCGGTAAGTAATGGGTTCGAATGGGTGATGAGTATTGTAGCGGATTGTACTGTCGGTCGGGTCAGGGCGTCGGCGATGTTATTCGCCCCTTTCTTGTACGTGATGCGGTAGGTGAAATGGTGTCAAAACAGCAGCTAGAAAGTTAGAACAAGAAAGAGGGTTTGCACTAGCAGGCAGTTGAGTACATCTAAGAAACCCTAATTTGGGCTATACTCGCTATAGAGTACCCCACTGCAGGCTAGATAAATATCACATTCTGACACACCCCCATAGTCAAAGTGGGGTATAATCAGCACAGCAAGCAGTCATAGAGCAGGTTCACAAGTGCAAGCAAAGCTAGAGGCATTCACAAAGGGCAAGTGAGGAGGAGGAGGTGGGACTGTGAGAGGAGAGGAGATAGGAGGCGACGGCTGAAGCTGCAGACACACGGGCAACAGGAGCGGCTGGCACAGCGGCTACCGGAGCAGCGCCCCAGACTACTGGAGTAACTGGCTCCGCGGCTAAGACGAGCGGAAGGAGCAACGGACCCACGGGCGACTGGCGCAGCAAGCTCGCTGGGCTACCAGAGCAGAGCCCCGCACTACTGGCGCTGCTGAAGACATGACGACTGCCTCCGCTCAACCTCCCCCAACTCTCCCACCCCCCTTCCACACACCCCCTGCTGCACCCCTAGCTCCAATCCCGTGTCACCCCCCTAGCGTGACTCCCTCGGTTCCCACACACCCACCCCCCTCAGCGGCAGCTGCAGCAGTGGGAGAGAGAGGAGGAGGAGGAGCAAGGGATGACGCACACCCGCCACCCCCATACCCGCCACCCCCACACCCTCAACGCAGGCGGCGTGGGCGAGATACACGGGCAGCAGCTAGGGCAGCGGGCAAGCGGAAGCTGGGCGGCGCGCTGGTCCCTGGGGCGCTTCGACGGGCGACGGTAGGGGGCGACGCGCGGGCCCCCGGGGCGCCACGAAGGGCGACGGGAGGGGGCGACGCGCGAGCCCACGGGGCGCGTCGACGGGCGACGGGAGGGGGCGACGCGCGGGCCCCTAGGGCGCCACGACGGGCGACGGGAGGGGACAGCGCGCGGGCCCCCGGGGCGCCACGACGGGCGACGAAACCGCCGCGGCGGGCGACGGGAGGGGGGGCGACGCGCAGGCCCCCAGGGCGCCACGACGGGCGATGCGAAGGGACAGCGCGCGGGCCCCCGGGGCGCCACGACTGGCGACGAAACCGCCACGCGCGCTCGGGGCGCGCGGCGGGCAGGAAACCGGCACACGCCCCGAGCGCGTGGCGGGCAGAAAACCGCCACGCGCTCGGGGCGCGTGGTGGGAAGAAAAAACGCCACGCGCGCAGGGTGCGAGGCAGGCAGAAGACGTCGCGCGCCTGAGGCGCGCGACAGGTAGGACAGCAGCGGAAGCAGGTGGGCCCACAGGCCAGGAGCGATCTCACTCTGTTAGCATGTCAAAACAACAGCTAGAAAGTTAGAACAGGAAAGAGGGTTTGCACTAGCAGGCAGTTGAGTACATATAGGAAACCCTAATTTGGGCTATACTCGCTATAGAGTACCCCAATACAGGCTAGACAAATATCACATTCTGACAAATGGCTCTTCATGTAGTCTAGCCACCGGATTTGTCACGGGTTGAGGCTGGGCTGGGCTGGCAGGTACTGTAGGGACTTGTGGTCCGTGCGAACAGTGACGTCGGCGCCCACCAAGTAGCAGCGCCACAGTTTGAACGCGTGTATTATGGCGAGCATCTCCTTGTCGTGAATCGGGTAGTTGCGTTCGGCTGCCTGCAGCTTGCGTGACTCGTAGGCTATCGGCTGTAGCCCGTTCCCGAAATCTTGGAGTAACACAGCTCCGATGGCAAAATCAGAGGCGTTGGTTACGACTTCGAACGGCTTCGATGGGTCGGTGATGCGCAGCACAGGAGGGGAAACGAGAAAATTCTTGAGTTCTTGGAAAGCCGCTTCTGCCTCCTCCCCCTTCACAAAATTCCTGTCCTTGTGCAGCAGGTCGGTCAGCGAGCCGGTTATCCTCGCCATATTCGGGATAAACCGCCTGACGTAATTCACGAACCCCAGAAAACTCTGTAGTTCCGTGACATTCGTCGGGGACTTCCACTCCTGTATGGTCTTGATTTTCGCCGGGTCCATTTTAATGTCGTCGCGTGAGATGACGTGGCCCAAAAACTCCAACTCCTGCTTAAAAAACTCGCACTTAGAGCCCTTGGTGATGAGTCGGTTCTCCTGCAACCGCTTAAACACTGCGTCGAGGTCTCGGAGATGTTGTTCCCGTGTCTTGCTAAAAATCAGGATATCGTCCAAATAGACGATTACACATCGGTCTAGAAGATCCCGAAAAACCTTGTTCATGGTGAGCTGAAATGTCGAAGGCGCGTTCGTGAGGCCGAAAGGCATCACTGTAAATTCGTAACTCCCGTAGCGTGTGCGAAACGCAGTCTTGTGACAATCGTCGGTGAAGACTCGAAGCTGGTGGTAACCGCCACGTAAGTCAATCTTCGAGAAATAGCGAGCGCCGCGAAGTTGGTTGAGGAGGTCGTCGGTGCGTGGGATTGGGTAGCAAGACTTGATGGTGACCCGGTTCAGCGCGCGATAGTCGATGCACATGCGAAGCCCGCCGTCTTTCTTCAGAGTGAACAGGATCGGTGCTGCGAAGGGAGATGTGCTGGCCCGAATGAACCCTTTTTCCAACAGTGCGTCAATTTGACTTTGCAGCTCCTTGAGTTCCGGCTGGGTCAACCGCCACTGTGTCCGAACAGTCGGCTGCGCGCCAGGTTCCAGCTGGATTTTGTGGTCCTCTGGTCTCTCAGGTGGCAGTCCAGGTGGCAGGTCGTCGGGGAAAATGTCGGGGTACCTCCGAATCAGCTCCGCTAAATCCGGTGGTACAGCTGCACACAGCTTCTCGATGTCCTTTCCGTCGGTGTCAACTGCCAACTCGCGTAAGCAGACAGCGAACAGCTACGCGCCCTTGTTGAGGTGGTGAGCTATAGTGACAGCTTTGACGCACGGGGCTTGGATGTAGTCAGGTGTCCATGCAGGCAGTTTAATGAGCCCCTTCGTGCTTGTAGATGCTGCACGATCCCGTTCTCCAGTCGATGACGGGGTTGTGCTGTCGCAACCAATCACGTCCGAGCAGCACGTTGCAGCTGTCCAGTGTCGTCGCGAGGAACTTCATGCTGAAGCCGAAACCGTCGCCGCATTCGATCTTGACCGTCCGTGTTTCTTCCGTTATCGCCAGAGGCGTCCCATCCACGAGGCGGGCGTCAATTTCAGGCAGACACCTGTCAAGTTGCAGCTTGCATTTTTTTGCGCTCGCCAAGTTGAAAAGGCTATGGCTGGCCCCTCCATCGACGAACATTTTCAAGTTATTTTTTAACACTTGCCAGCGACCAGCACAGGGTGATCCACATGATTATCCCTGTTATTCGGCCGAGTGCAATCGATTGCATGAATCGGAACCACGACTCGGTGAGGATGGTGGGGTTTGGGCGACGGAGCACAGTCAGTAAAGGGCCCGCTAATTTCCCTGCTCCTTCCTGTCGTTCCCCGTCAGCGGCGTTTTCTCGTGGCAGTCTTTCATGTAGTGACCCGTCTTCCCACACCG